GGGGGGCGGTGGATGGGAGGGAAAGGGGATGGTGGGAGGGATTCTTCGAAAACGCATGGAATGAATCGAATAGAAAACGGTTTATGGCATAGAAAACGGGGTCATGTAATCGCTTTGAGGTATCGGAGTATGTCTTGTTATTTTGTTTGTGTACGTGTTTTTTTTTTTTTTTGTTTGTTTGTATGTACTGGTATCGTATGCTACACATACGCACGTACAGTTACAAGTACCATATTTTAATTTTCAAATTATCCCTCCTTACGCAGCACACACACACACACACACACACACACACACACACACACACACACCACACACACACACACACACACATACACCGGACCCACACACGCCACTACCCCTCCCCCTACACAACAACCCCCCACACACACCACAGGCATTCCCCCTCCCACTCCCACTCCCCACAAAACAAATACCCCCCACCCCCCCATTCACCCCCTCACCCACACCCACCCCACAACCCCCCTCCCCACCACCACCTCCATACACCCCCACAACCCCCTGCCCCCCCCACACAACACACGCCCCACTCAACCACATACAAACACGCCCGGCCCCGCGAGGAAGGGCCAATTCACAGGACCTCCCCCAATTTCCACGGCCCATTCGCCACCAGAATGCGACCGCAACCGCCGCTTAACTACGCCCGCAAACAAGCTTCGTTCGTCTTATGCTAATGGAACGCTAAAGCTTTCGCGTTTCTCTTTCTCCTTCTTCCCTTCCTTCCTCCCTCTTCTCCCCTCCCTCCCCTTCCGTCTTCTTTCTCCTTCTTCTCCCTTCCCCCTTCCCCTCCGTCCCTCCTCCTTTCTTTTCCCCTCCCTCCCCTTCCCGTCTTCTTATCTCCTCTTCTCCCTTCCTCCCTCCTTCTCCCTCCCTCCCAGTCTTCTTTCTCCTCTTCTCCCTTCACCCCTCTTCTTCGTCCTTCCCTCTTCTCCCCTCCCTCCCCCCCGTCTTCTTTCTCCTCTTCTCCCTTCCTCCCTTCCCCTCCCTCACTCCACTCCCTCCCTTTCTCCCTCCTCCCTCCCTTCTTCTTTCTCCTTTCTCCTTTCCTCCCTTCCTCCCCTCCCTCCCTTCTCCCGTCTTCTTTCTCCTCCTTCCTCCCTTCCTCCCTTCCTCCCTCACTCCCTCCTTCCTTCTCCCCTCCCTCCCTCCCGTCTTTCTTTCTCTTCTTCTCCCTTCCTCCCTTTCCCCCTCCCTCCCTCCCTCCGTTTCATTACTTTATCCTCTTTCTCCCTTTCCTCCCTCCACTCCCTCCCTCCTTCTCCCTTTCCCTCCTCCGTCTTCTTTCTCCTCTATTCTCCCTTCCTCCCTCTCCCCTTTTTCCCCCTCCTCACTCCTCCCTTCCTTCTTCCCCTGCCTCTCCTACCAAAGATATATATAATAATATATAATTCTCCCTTCTTCCTTCCCTCCCCCTCCCTTCACTCCCTCCCTTATTTCTCCCCTCCTCCCCCCTCCCTCCTTCCCTATTTCTCCCCTCCCTTTCCGTCTTTCTTTCTCTTCCTCCCCTTTACTCCCTCCCCTCCTCCCCTTCACTCCCACCCTCCTTCTCCCCTCCCTTCACGTCTTCTTTTCTATTTCTCCTCCTCTCCTTCTTCTTCCGGCCTCTCTTGTCTTCTTTCTACCTCCTTCCCTTCCTCCCTCCCTCCTCCTCTCCTCGTTCCTCTATGCTAATGAACGCCCGAGCTCACTGTAGGAACCGCGGTGGGTGGAGGTCGGAGTGCGGCTGTTACCTTGGTGTGTTGTGTTGTATGAGTTGTATTTTAGTCGGTTTTGTGTTGTGTGAGTTGTATAATTTTGGGGGAGGGGTTTGTTGTTTTTTTGGGGGGGCTGTGTGTGTTGTTTTTGTGTTGTTATGAGTTGTGTTTTCCGTGCTGGTTTGTGTTGTTGAGTTTTATGAGTCGTATTTTGTGTTGTATTCTTCGTTGTATTTCGTTGTATTATTGTGTTGTATTTCGGTGTCTTTCGTGTTGTGTGAGCTTGTATTTTTGGGATTTTTTGTGTTTGTCTTCGGTTGTATTTTGTTAATTTTGTGTTTGTGAGGCTGTATTTTGGCTTCGTATTTTGTGTTCGTATGATTTTTAGGAAGTTTTATTCTTATCGATCGATAATATTTCTTCTTTATTCGTCATTTACAGATTTTGAATTTCTATTCCTCTTTTGGTTCAAGTAAATTAATAGAAAAAAAAAATAAATTAGAGTTCAGTGGTAACGCCCACAGCGTAATGAAAAACGCCCACAACGATAAACGAAACGCCCACAAACAGGTTAATAAAAACGCCCACAACGGTAACGAAACGCCCACACGATTAACGAAACGCCCACAACGAATAACGAAACAGCCCACAACGATAGCCGAAACGCCCACAACGGTAACGACCACGCACCAACGATAACGAAACGCCCACAAACGATAGCGGAATAGCGCCCACAACGATATGCGAAGCGGCCCAACAACGATAACGAAACGCCCACAACCCGAATATGCGAAAAACAGAACCTAAATAAACGGACGTATTCAGACAATTATTTGCCGTCGGGGTCTAAGTCTTACGTAAGCGATCCGACAAATCTTTGACCCAGACAAATATATTTTCTCACTAATCTATGCGCTGTGTTGACTGTTTTTATCTATCTGTCTGTGTGTTATGTATGTATGTGTCTTGTTTATTCTGTCTGTTTGTATGTGTTTTTTGTTTGTTTGTGTGTTGTTGTGTGTGTGGTTGTTGTTTTGTGGATGTGTGTCTGTTGTGTTCTGTGTGTGTTGTTATGTGTGGTGTGTGTGTGTTGTGTGTGGTGTATGTGTGTGTGTTGTGTCGTGTGGTGTGTGTCGTGTGTTGTGTGTTGTATTTGTGTGTATCTGTGTGTCTATCTGTCTTTGCTGTATTGTGTGTTGCAATGAAAGAGAAGACACATTAATACCTATTAAGTAAGGTAATTAATACATAGAAAAAAAAGAAGAAAAAAAATCACTCTTGCATACACAAAATTGCTTTCCCAATATTACATCAAGGTTGCCATATGGACGTAGCGTGCACCTGGCAACACTGAGGTTTAATCCACGTACACACGATAGCTGACAAAGTACACCACGATCATGTACGTAATGAATTAATATCAAGAACGAAGCAGAAAAAAAAAGGAGTATAGTGAATGGATATGCATGACTGCAATTAATAAATGAATATTGCATGAATGAATGAATATGAGAGAGAGAGAGAGGGAGAGGGAGGAAGGAGGACGAGAGAGGAGAGAGAGAGAGAGAGAGAGAGAGAGAGGAGAGAGAGAGAGGAGAGGAGAGAGCAGGAGGGAGAGAGAGAGAGAGAGAGAGAGGAGAGAGAGAGAGAGAGAGAGATGAGGAGAGAGAGAGAGAGTAGGAGAGAAGAGAGAGAGAGAGAGAGAGAGAGAGAGAGAGAGGAGAGGAGAGAGAAGAGAGAGAGAGAGAGAGAGAGAGAGATGAGAGAGAGAGAGAGAGAGAGAGAGGAGAAGAAGAGGAGAGAGAGAGATTGAGAGAGACAGAGAGGTTACACGAGCGACAACATTCACACGAAATCGCCGTTTTCTCCCGAGATGCTTCATAGAAAACGAGATGAAGAGCAGTGAAGGGGGAAGTGGGAGTCGGAAAAGAGATGCCGAGGTTACACGACCTCCTCACTCTCTCTTTGCTCTCTTTTCTCTCTCTTGTCTCTCTTGTTTTCTGGCTCTTCTTCTCTCTCTCTCTCTCTCTCTCTCTCTCTCTCTCTCTCTCTCTCTCTCTCTCTCTCTCTCTCCTCTCTCCTCTCTCTCTCTCTCTGTCTCTCTCTCTCTCTCTCTCTCTCTTCTCTCTCTCTCTCTTTCTCTTTTCACCCCTTCCCATTCTCTGCTTCTGCTTCTGTACTTCTGTACTTCCACTCTCCCTTTTTCTTCTTCCCCTTTCCATTTTTCCGTTCTCCTCCTCCCCATCCTCCTTCTCCTCCACCCCTTCCCCATCCACCTCCTCCTCCTTCTCTTCCTCCACCCCTTCTCCCATCTCCTCCTCCTTCTGCTCCACCCCTTCTCCCCCCCTCCTCCTCCTCCACCCCTTCTCCCATCCTCCTCCTCCACTCCTTCCCCCCATCCTCCTCCTCCCTCCACCCCTTCCCTCCTCCCCATCCTCCTCTTCCACCCCTTCCCCCATCCCCATCCTCTCCTCCTCCTCTCCTCCTTCTACCTCCCCCTTCTACCTCCCCTCCTCCCCCTTCCCCCTCCTGCGCAAGGTTGGCACCCATATAAGTACCTCAATCGTCTGGCGTCTGAGTTGGCACCCGGCGGTCAGTGCCAGTCGTTTGCAAAGAGTCCTATGAGGTTGCGAGAGAGGGAGAGGGGAGAGGGAGAGGAGGGGAGGGAGGAGGGAGGAGAGGGGAGGAGAGGGAGAGGGAGGGAGGGAGGGAGGGAGGGAGGGAGGGAGGAGGGAGGGAGGGAGGGAGGGAGGGAGGGAGGGGGGAGAGAGGAGAGGGAGAGAGGAGAGGAGAGAGAGAGAGAGAGAGAGAGAGAGAGAGAGAGAGAGAGAGAGAGAGAGAGAGGAGAGAGAGAGAGAGAGAGGAGAGAGAGAGAAGAGAAGAAGACGGAAAAAAGACGGAGAAGAAAGAGATAGAGAAGGCGCAGAGAGGAAAGGAAGACGGACAAAGACGAAAGAAGAGAGAGATAGAGACGACAAAGAGAGAAGAAAGAGACAAAGAAGTGCGCAGAGAGGAAGGAGAAGATAGAGAAAAACAAAGAGAAGAAAGAGAGGAAAAAGGCTTAGAGAGGAAGAAGAAGACGGAGAAAGACGAAGAGAAGAAAGAGACAGAGAAGTGCGCAGAGAAAGAAGTAGAAACGAAGAGAAGAAAGAGACAGAGAAGCGCGCAGTGGAAGGAGACGAAGGAAGGTACAATCCCGTTTTTTCTCCATACTCCCCCCCTCCCCCTCCTCCACCCGCTCCCCTACTCCATTTTTTTACCTTAAGCTCCCCAATTGCTGGAATGTTCTGCGTGGGCACCGCGGCCTGGCACTGGGGCCCCTCGGCTCAAGGTCTCTGGCACGGAGCCTTCGGTACTTGTATGGTGTCACCCTCCCCGCTCCCCTTTCGCCGCCTCCTCCTCCTCCTCCTTCTTTTCCTATTTCTACTCCTCTTCCTCCACCTCCTATTCCTTCTTCTTTTACTACTCCTTCTAGTCTTCCTCCACCTCCTGCTTCTACTCCTCTTCCTCCTCCTTCTTCTACTTCTTTTCCTTCTACTCTTCCTCCTCCTTCTTCAACTTCTCCTTCTTCTACTCTTCCTCCTCTTTCTTCTAGTCCTCCTTCTCCTCCGCATCTTCTTCCCCTTCTCATCTTCCTTCCTTCTCTTTTCTTCTTTCTCTCTCCTTCCCCCTTCCCCTTCCTTCTCTCTCTCTCTCTCTCTCTCTCTCTCTCTCTCTCTCTCTCTCTCTCTCTCTCTCTCTCTCTCTCTCTCTCTCTCTATCTATCTACCTATCTATCTATCTCTCTATATCTATCTATCTATCTCCATCAGCATATAAACAAACAAACAAAATACACCAACACCTCTAACAACAACCCCTTTTCTAACAACTCAACCACACACACACACACAACACAAAACAACCCATTTCACAACCCAGGCCGAACAGACAAGAACAAACAAACAAACGAACGATTCCAGAACAACTTATTATAACCTCTGCCTTACGTAAGGAGTCAAAAATAAGACAATTTTCACTCGTTCGGCCCGCACAGATGATGACGAAGCGGGTCCGTCCGGACACATCGCTAAGTTAACAAGTAATCTTTCCGATCAGCTGTTGACCTTTGACCTCTTCTCGTCGATGGGTTTGCTTCATGCCTGTCTGGGATCCGTCGCCGGTGGGAAGCGGGTATGTGGTGGGTGTGTGTGTGTGTGTGGGTATGGGGATGTGGTGGTGTGTGTGTGTTGTGTGTTTTTGTGGGTGGGTGGGTAGGTGTGTGTTTGTGTGTATGTGTGTGTGTGTGTTTTGTGTGGGTGGGTTGGGTGTGTGGATGTTGTGTGTGTGTTTGTGTGTGTGTGTGTGTGTGTGTGTGATGTGTGGTGTGTGTTGTGTGTGTGTGTGTGTGTGTGTGTGTGTGTGTGTGTGGTGTGTGTGTGTGTGTGTGTGTGTGTGTGTGGTGTGTGTGTGTGTGTGTGTGTGATGTGTGTGTTGTGTGTGTGTGTGTGTGTGTGTGTGTGTGTGTGTGTGTGTGTGTGTGTTGTTGTGCTTGTGTGCGTGGCGAGGAGGGGAGGAGGAATAGTTGAAAGATTATGGGAACGAAGAAGATAAGGAGAAGAAGGAGAAGGTGGGGGCAGGTGGGGAGGGGAAGAGATGGAGGAGGGAGGAAGAGGAGCTAAAGGACGAGGAGGAGAAGCAGAAGAGGAAGAAGGAAGAAGAGAGAGGAAAGAAGAAAAGAAGAAGGGAAAGAGGAGGAAGAGGAGAATGAGAAAGGAAGAGGGAGGAAGAGAAAAGAAAGAAAGAAAGGGAAGAGGAGGACGTCGAGTAGGAGGGAGAAGGGACACGGAGGAAGGGAAGAGGGGGAGGAGGAGCTAAAAGAGGAAGGAGCTGAGAAGGAAGAGAAGGAGGAGGAGAATGAAAAAGAAAGAAGGAAGAGGAGGAGGAGGGAAAATGAGAGGGAGGAAAATGGAAAAAGAAGGAGGAGGAGAAGGAATGAGGAGGAGGAAATGGAAAAGAAAAAGGAGGGGGAGAGGGAAAGGAAGGAGGAGGGGGAGGAGGAGATGGAGAAGAAGGAGGGGGAGATGGAAAAGAATTTAGGAGAAGTAAAGGGAAAAGAATAGGAGAAGGAAGATAAGGAGATGGAATAGAAGAAGATAAGAAGAAGAAGAGGAGAAGAGAGGAGGAAACGGAGGAGGAGGAGGAGAGGAGGAGGAGAAACGGGAGGAGGAGGAGGAAACGGAGGAGGAGGAGAGGAGGAAGGAGGGGAGGAGGAGAGGAGGAGGAGGAGGAGACGGAGGAAGGAGGAGGAGACAGAGGAGGAGGAGGAGGTCAGCTGACTGGAAGAGCCTGACCGTGAACTATAGTTCTATTCTGAGCACGACAAGTCATTACCAGCGGCCTCCGTGCAACTCTGTCTGGTCGCCGGGTCGTGTGCGTGCGTGTGTGTGTGTGTGTGTGTGTGTTACATGGCCTGTCTGTGCACGTGTTTTAATTTTTGTTTGGATGTTATTATTATCATTATTTATTATTTCTTTCCTTCTTTTTTTTTCATTATATTTATTTATTTATTTATTATTATATTTTTTTTGGGGGGGTAAAAACAAAACACACACACACACACACACACACACACACACACACACACACCACACACACACACACCACACACACACACACACACACACTCACTCACTCATCACTCACTCACACACACACACATATCTAATCTGCACTGATTATGATTATTTAGCGAAATAACAAATTCGATTTTTTTCTTTCCAATCTTCGCTTCTCTCTCTCATTCTTTTCGCTGTCTCTCTGTATCTTCTCTTGTCTCGGACTGTTTCTCTATCTCTCTCTTTTTCTGTCTTCTCTGCTTCTCTTCTTTACCTCTCTGTCTTTGTCTGTTTGTTTGTCAGTGTGTATGTCTTTCAGTTAGTCAGTCAGTCAATCTGTCTGTCTGTCTCTATCTCTCCCTCCCCCCCCCTCTCTCTCTCTCTCTCTCTCTCTCTCTCTCTCTCTCTCTCTCTCTCTCTCTCTCTCCCCTCCCTCCATCCCTCCCCTCCCCCTCTCCCTCCATCCATCCCCCTCCCTCCCCTTCCTCCCCTCTCTCTCTCCCCCTCCCCCCTTCCCTCTCCCTCTCCCTCCCTCCCTTCTCCCTCCTCCTCCCTCCCCTCCCTCCCTCCATCCACCCCCCCACCCCTCTCCCCCTCTTCCTCTCTCCCTCTCCCCCCCCCTCCCCTCTCCCTCTCCGCCCATCCATCTACCACTTGTGTTGGCTCTCGTCCAGTGCCGCCAAGGTTAGGGAAATCGGGTTCTGTCTCTCAGGATTGGTAACCCGACACCGCTCGCTGCTCCAGTCTGTTTGAGTGCGTGTCTGTCTGTCTGTCTGTTTGAGAGCGTGTCTGTCTGTCTGTCTGTCTGTCTGTCTGTTTGGGTGCGTGTCTGTTTGTTTGTTTGGGTACGTGTTTTTTTTTGTTTGAATGAGTGTTTGTTTGAGTGCGTGTCTGTTTTTTGGTTGAGTGCGTGTTGTTTGTTTGGTTGAGTGCGTGTTGTTTGTTTGAGTGCATGTTTTTTTTGTTGAGTGCGTGTTGTTTGGTTGAGTGCGTGTTTGTTTGTTTGGTTGAGTGCGTGTTTGTTTGTTTGTTTGAGTGCGTGTTTGTCTGTCTGTTGTTTTTGAAGCGTGTCTGTT